GGCTCAAGCAATCCTTCTGCCTCAGCCTCCCAAGTAGCTGGGACTACAGGCATGCGCCACCATGCCCTGCTATTTTTCTCTCTCTCTCTCCTCTCTCTCTCTCTCTCTCTCTCTCTCTCTCTCTCTATATATATATATATATAATATATAATATATATATTATATATATATATGCTGGCCAATTAATTTCTTTCTATTTATACTATACGGGGTCTCGCTCTTGCTCAGGCTGGTTTCAAATCCCCACCTTTGCAATCTGGCCACTCTGCCTCCCAGAGTGCTAGGATTATAGGTGTGAGCCACCAGGCCAGCCTGCCTACCATATGTTTAGCATTCATTACCCTTAGGTATTTACTCAAATGAAAAGATAATGTGTTCAAAGACTGCAATGTTCTTAGCAGCTTTATTTATAATAGCCTGAACTGGAAAGACCCCAAACTTTGGATCAACAAACTACAGTAATACATACAATGGAATACTACTCAGCAATAAAAAGAAATAAACTATAAATACCACAATAAATTGTTGAATCTCAAAATAATTATTCTGATGGTTTCATAGGTTTATGCACATATACATATATCAAAATCTAACAAACTATATATTTGAAATACAGCCAATTAACCTCAATAGAGCTGTTTTAAAAAAAAGACGCTATGGCTCACGCCTGTAATCCTAGCACTCTGGGAGGCTGAGGCGGGCAGAATGCTCAACGTCAGGAGTTTGAAACCAGCCTGAGCAAGAGTGAGACCCAGCCTCTACTATATAAATAGAAAAAATTAATCAGCCAACTAACATATATATAAGAAAAAATTAGCTGGGCATGGTGGCGCTGCCTGTAGTCCCAGCTACTCGGGAGGCTGAAGCAGGAGGATCGCTTGAGCCCAGGAGTTTGAGGTTGCTGTGAGCTGGGCTGACGCCATGGCACTCTAGCTGTGAACAAGCAAGACTCTGTCTCAAAAAAAAAAGAAAGAAGAGAAGAGAAGAGAAAAATAGAAAAGAGGATAAACTACTGATACACACAACATAGATGAGTCTCAAAAACATTACACTTTGGCCAGACACAAAAGATTATATACTATTTTACTTCGTTAACATGAAATCTAAAAATGATAAATCTAATCAGTTGTAACTGAAACCAGATCATGTGTTGCCTGCAGTTGGACATGGGGATTGTCTGGGATTGATCGTGACAGAACATTGTAGAGTAAAAGAAAAGTTCAAATCCTTCATTATGATTATGGTTATGTGGGAATACATGTTATCAAAACCTATCAATGCACATGCTTAAAATGGGTGCATTTTATAGTAGGCAAATTATCAAACATAAAATTGATTTTTTATTAAACACACTGACTGCCACACCAGAAAAAATTTTTCCCTCAGGCCACATATTTTACTAAAACAAAACAGGGGTGAGGGGTGGGGGAGCATGGGCAATATACATAACCTGTACCCCATAATACACTAAAAAAAAAAAAAAATCTTGCACCTCTGGCAAAACTTAAAAGAAAAAACCAAAAATGTTTTCTAAGATTTTACTTTTCATGGTTTTCTGTGCATGTGTTACAGAATGCAATGGAATCCACATTTTTAGGATTAAATAGTAATATTATTTGTACAAAAAGAACATGAACAAGTTAAGAGTTTCACAAACCAACTGCAGGGTTTTGCTTCATGAGGCTCTAGGTTCAAAATAGCATGAGTTAAATACAAATCACATGGCAGTCAATGTGTTAAAAACTGCTTTACCTTAGATCAACATGTTCACAGGACATTCCATCATAATAAAGATATGACAAAACTGAATTATTTAATACAAAAAAAGGTAAGAAGACCTTTATGGGATAGGAATGGAAATACTAATATATATAAAAAATTTTTCTAAATTTCATTTTCAGGGCTGCATGGCACTATTTCCCATAAAGATTGAAAGCTCAGCTAAGGGAAGGCAAAATAAACCAGATCTCATCTTCCAACTTTTGATACCAACTTGCTGAAAGTCGCTGCAAGAAAATAAAATAAATGCCCTAACAATAGTGGCCTGAATCTGACACAGGCTATCTATTTACACACATGAGTTAAATTCCACCCCATTTCCCTCCCTTACAGCTATACTCTGCCATTCAAGTTAGAAACAACACCATTCCCATCATTCTCTCCACGCCAAGAAAAACTGCTTTAGCTCCTGTCTTCTGCCTCAAACTCCACAGCAAATTTTCATCTTGCCTACTACCTTTTCAGCTCTTCAAAAGTATCCTCTCCCGTCTCCGTGACTGTATCCCACCATTATTCCCTCTCCTTTGCAGAATGTGGTTCTCTACGCTGGTTCTTAACCTCCATCCTAAGACACTCAACATATGATCTTCCTTCCTACTGAGCCTATAATAATCCTCACTTCAGCTACTGCCCTTTCTGTTGAAGTCAAACTTTTAAAGAAGTAATGTACACATGCTACCATTCCACTCTTCAATTTAGTTTACTGTGGCATCCTCTGGCGAAAAGTGAAGCATTTTCTCACTGCCAAAACCAAAAGCCTCCAAATCTCGAGACCTCCCTCCATACTTTTGCAACATCCGTCCCTACTGATAACACCCGATCCCATGGCTTAACAGGTACTAATAGCTCCTCCTCACCTTCCAGTTAACTCCTCAGAAGAGGTATCCCCACGTACTGTTCACTGACCCTCTTCTCACTCCGCTGATGCTTCTCTGTGGGCAACATTATCACACCCATGGCTTTCAATGACTCTGAGCATAAAATCTATAGTTTCAGCCCTGATTTCTTCATTGCTTTAAATGCTGTAATGTCTACACATAATGCTTTAAAAAAGGAACACAGTACAGCTTATGAGGTGCCTCACAAAAGCTGGTCTGAGCTGACTGCTCCTGTTTTGACCCAATCTATAAGTTATAACTCTCCAAAGATTTTCTTTTTTTATAAACATTTTTATTAATATATGTGCACACGCAGTGAAGTGCACATCCTTAGCATAAATTCGTGAATATCATGAAGTAAACATACCCATGTAATCACTATCCAACACGAGTTGACTTAAGAAATATATCATCAGTGGGAGGCCAAGGCGGGTGGATTGCTCGAGGTCAGGAAACCAGCCTGAGCAAGAGCGAGACCCTGTCTCTACTAAAAATAGAAAGAAATTAATTGCAACTACAAATACATAGAAAAATTAGCCGGGCATGGTGGCGCATGCCTGTAGTCCCAGCTACTTTGGGGAGGCTGAGGCAGGAGGATGCTAGAGCCCAGGAGTTTGAGTTGCTGTGGAGTGAGCTGATGCCACGGCACTCTAGCAGAGCAACAGAGTGAAGATTCTGTCTCAAAAGAAAAACAAAGCAAAACACAAACAAAACAAACATCACTAGTAACAAAGAAGTAACCAAGAAGCCCTCCTAGTCATGGCCAATGCCTCTTAACTAAAATATCTTAAACTCTAAATACAATGGCCTATACTCCTAAATTCCAAATATTTCACACTTTCATTATTGAACTTGTACCCTTCTCCTTCTCACAAATAGTTCTTTCTATTTCTCTCTTAAACCCAAACCAGAGTATCTTTCTCTATGGCATTAGTTCATCTCTGCTCACACTGCACTCCAGGAGTATCTCCGGTATAACACATTTTGAACTGTACTATGATATCCAGATATTATTCACATGGCAGCTCTCCTAGAGGTGGGAAACAAAGCACCATTTGGTGTCCTATAGTAACTTGGCCAAATGTTGCTATAAAAAGCTTTATCCAATATTATTGGTTTTTTTCCAGAAAAACTTAAAAGTCAAAGCATTCCTTGGAAGAAGACTTTTTTTTCATCTGCTTTACCTGTGCGACATTCATTGCAGATAAATTTTCCTCTTGGCATTTCAGTTAATCCAAGGCACTCCAGGTGGAAAGCCCCACAGCACTGAGCTCCACAACAGCAGCTCACCCACTTTCTCACAGTTCTGATAAAGAGAAAGAAACAAGATCTGCCTGTAGAAAAAGGGTTTAAAAATCCCACGTGGAAGGCGTTGAAAGAGGAAAGATTAAAAACTGGGCTGGGTGTGGTGGCTCACACCTGTAATCCTAGCACTCTGAGAGGCCCAAGGCAGGAGGAACACTTGAGGCAGGAATTCAAGATCAGCCTGAGCAAGAGTGAGACTCTGTCTT